ATTCGGGGTGCGACCAGAGTCACGGAACGAATTAAGTTCGTAACCCGAGGTTCCACTGTAGATGGCCCCTGCTCTACTGGCATTTTGCAAACAAGCCAAAGCTTGGTTGTTCCAGTGGGCACTTGGCTCTTTGATTAGATTAACTGAACAGTGCCCATGATGTGTTCAATTTTCATTGATTATTTTTTTTTATTATCTGGACTTGAGTTTTATGGATATTTTTGTCTCTGACCATGTTTTACTATAAACACAGTCCATTTGGATTGGGACAAGCTATAAATATTTTGCAAAGAAATGAACAACTAAACTATACTCTGTTGACCTCTGTTGGCTCTCCAATCCCTGTTATTTTTGTGCAGTGGGACCATATAGCACACTGAGAATCTTTCAGCTTGTGGACTGGCTCTGTGACCTTCATAACAAGAAGATGGTAGATGTTTGAAACATGTAAAAGTAATTCTTCTGCCATAAACTGAGGGAAAATATACAATGGCTCCTAGATATGTTTGTAAATTCTGTAGTGTAGCTGTGAGAAACTATACCCATGACCTTGAGAAGATACACACATGCCTTCTCACATGTGTCAGATGCTTCCTTCTTTTTGGGATGGGGGTTCTTGGAAATAAAGAACAGAATGAGAACTCAAATGAGAGTACTGGGGTCTTCTCCTTAGGCTCTCCCTAGGTGGCTCTGCAGGGCTGGGCAAGGTGGTACTTTCTTATCTTATGCCTTTCCAAAGTAACAGCCACCATCTGTGCAGCCACACAGCTAGTTTCTAAGATGAGTTGACTTTCTAGTCCCTGAGAATTAAAGTAGTGCTAGGATAAGAGAGAGAAAGCAAGGATCATTTGCCTAATCTTAGCCATACTTGGGCTGCAAAAATCTAGTAGACCAGAAGATGGCAGCAAATACTATGAACTCAAACTCTTGACAGCCATCTAGCAGTCATCTGGATTTGTGTAACTCAGAGATGGCTGCCTGCCCGATCTGACAAAGGAAGATTGGGTGAGCAGTGATCCTGTCAATAAGCGGGGAAGAGGAGTTTGTTATTTGCCAATGCATTAAGGAATCCTTTGGATGGAAGACCAAAAGAAGACCAAAGGAAGAACCCAGGTGGTCTCAGCAGGTGATGATAGTCCTTTGGGCAAATGGGAGGCAATTCCCCAGTCAAGCTGCCTAGCCTCTTGGTGAGGCTGCTGCTCAAAGGGCTAAGCCCTAAGAATGGGGTCCAACTTCTGAAAATCTCCTGAGGCGTCTAGGCAAAATGCAGAGCCTTCAGAGACCATGACTGTCCTGTTAAAAAAAGAAGGAGGGGGGAGGGGACAGAAAAAGGAACTTGCTGACTACAAGAGACCGGACTGAAGGAGTGGTTTAGAATTACTTTCTACTGCCATCTGCAGCAAAAATACTCTGATCCTGCCTGCCAGAGTGAAAGACCCCTAAAGTCCCCTTTTTTCCCCTGAATTTTAATATTTCCCAAATCTTCACCTCTCCAACTTATAAGACACAGCACAGTCCTGGACATTAAAATCTTTGTACAGCTTCAAACACTTGTATATGCTAAACCAGGGCTGGCTCTAGACATTTTGACGCCTTAGGCAAAGTCATATTCTGGGAGCCCCTATGGTTTAGCTCATCTTCCAATTCTGTTAGGAGTTTCAAAAAGGCACCCTCTTGTTTCTTTTTTTGTTTGTTTGAGTTTCTGAGCTTTATACTTATAATTTTCAGCCCTGGGCGTTTTTCTTCTTTTCTCTGACATTTTCATCCTATTTACTGTGAATCACAGTAAATCATTTTAATTTCATCCTATTTACTGTGAATCACAGTAAATCATTTAATTACATCAGCACCTATTGTTGTCATATGGCAACAATTCTGCAAAATTATATTTAACCCTCAAGTGGGAGTGCTAGCACCCAGAGTGCACCAGTACCGCTTATAACTTCAATAAGCTGATAGTCATGCAACTCACTCACTCAGTACCTTCCTGTCAGACCTTTGTCTTGCTTCAGTAATATTATCAGCTTCCTGAGGTCCATAGCTATAATAATAATTTCTTTTTCGTGACTTGCAACATCTGGTTAGTTTGCTATTCCCTACCACTTGACCAACTCTGTGGGTGTTTTCAAAAAGCATAGAAAGAAAAAATTCTAAAACCGTGAACAAAGATGATCAGATGTCATACTCATATTGTGTATTTTGGAAGTCTTTTCAATATTGGCATCCGATTAAATTTGCCTAGAACCAGCCCTGACTAAGCCAAGCTCCTGCTATCAGATCACGTGGTGGGGTCTAAGCACTGCCTTGCTGCAGTGTTGAAATAAAAGTATGTAGAGTAGGAGTAAAACGTGCCATGTAGTACTTTGCTTCTTGAGGCACATTGCCTTCCTTTGGCCCGGGCATCAAATTATTCACTAATGTATTAACCCCAAAGAGAGAATTTTCCCTCCACAAATAAATCTGCTACTTGAGGGGGAGGTTCTTATGTTCACCCATAACAGACGAAATCATAGCCAACTCAGAATGGGTGTAACAGCTGAAAAATGGAATGCCTTTAAACAATAACCCATCCCTTCGGATTGGCTGCTTTGAAGTACAGCAGCTGGGATTTCTTCCCTACAGTATTACCATAGTCCTTTTTTTCCCCCTTGTTTTCTTGTTTGTTTGTTTTGCTTTGTTTTTGCTGTCTTTTCTTGGGAGCAGTAGAGCTTCTTTCCAGTTGAGCTGATGATATGCACTTAGCTGGTCTTGGCTGATCTTGAAAAGCTAAGAAGGGTTGGATCTGCTTGGTACTTAGATGGGCGTCTATCCAGAAATGCTGCTGCTGTATGACAGGGAAATAAAGAACAAAGCTCAGCCCTGGAAGAAGGAATGGAAATCCAGTTCTGTATTGTTGCCAAGAAGACCATGTGAACATTCCACGAAATCATCAGGGGTTGAGCTCAGTTTGAAAGGATTTATACTTTTATCTATTGGGCTGGACGGATAGGAAATGCATACTTGTTTTTATGTATATATGAAAGAGTGACTGGTATACTCAGATGCGGGATCAATTCGTTTTATAAATATTTGCAGATGATTAATTGAAATCCATACTTATTCACTTAATACTAGATGCACACACGGATAAATATGTTGCATGCACACATTTTATAGAGGGGGAAGAATTCTGAGGATTGGTTTCAGCTGGAGTTGGGGAAGCTGGGTATTGCACAGGATTTTTTGTCTACATGTATATATGTGTCTCCTTTTGTGGGAGGTGGATGCCTTACATTCAGGGTTAATGCCCTTTATGGTAAATA